TACAATGCAGTTTAAAACATTTCGGAGAACCTCCATCGAGTTCCACATAGAGAGGTGAAGCACAGGTTTATTAATTACGCTTAGTAGACGTTTAATGATAGTAATTAGAAGAGACCATAGAACGTAGACAATGCTAACCTTACCCTATTATCGATAGATTCGTTTTTTTTTCTTTTCATTCTTCCACTTTTAATGCGTAATGATGATATGGTGTTACATATGTAATCTAGCCTACAATCAACGACACCGACCAAAAATCAATCGCATGGAAGGATTCAATTACTATAGCCACTCAACATATCTTTGCTGTTTTGAATGTTTAACGAAGATGGGTTGCGTGCACGCCTTAAGAATACAAGTCCACAGAGAGAGAGAGAGAAAATGCGCGTGTAACCTAGAAACTAAATATTCGGTTACACCCCGTACAACCGCGATCTTTGAATCTTCGAATTCTTTTTATCACTTATTTCCTTTGAAACGTTCCGTTCAAAATGGCGAAAATATGTTGGGCAAACACGTTAATTGGAACACCCTGTATTCGAATGGATTGTGGAAGGCCGATGTCCAAATCTGTGCCAGCTGACCCTTATTTCATCAAAATTTTGTTCTGTATACATCTAGACTTAAAAACAAATACAATCTTGTATCCGGGGAGAGAGAGGGGGGTGGGGGAGGGAAGGTTTGATTTCTATAGTTTCAATGGAACGCCTCGTGGGGGCATGACCTACCCTTTTTTTGGAGGTTAGGTTAACGGCTCCACGAGAACGCCTGAGACTTTGCGTTATGTTAATTTGATTTTTATGCTCATTCGGCTTTCGTTATTAGTTTACGTTTTCCATTCAGAGATAATACGAGACACATATAACAACTGTATACATTGACGTTTCGTTTTTCTTCTTCCCTTTTCTTATGCGAAGGGTTAACACGTCTTGTCGAGAATGACCGTTAATACATTATCGGAGAAATTGTAATAATTATCGAATCGTGCTTATCACGTAATGCAGCGGTTCCCAAACTTAGGGATAACAGTTTCTTTTTAATTAGAAAAAACCTTGCGCCACCCAACGACCAGAATCAACGAGTGTACTCCAATTTTGATATTCAAAGGATTCTTTGATTTATCCTATCGTTACGTTACCTCACTGTAGAAAAGTTGCTTCTCGTTATTCTACAGCCGATTTTAAACTTTACAAGTGTCGTTGAAGCAGCGATCGAACGTTACATACTAATCCGAAATGTTTGGAAACCGTTGGATGCATAGAAGACATAGTTAACATCGAACACTGTATATTACTTATAAGAAAGGGCACACAGTGGACTGTAAAATTCAGTGTACACCGATGTGAAATGCTTATTGTACAAGAGACAAGAAGAAATACTGGAATGATCGAGTGAAATTTACATTTAATTTAATGACAATCAAGATAAATGCTTCGATTGAACGTTAACTGGAATTGCTGACAAAATTATATTAATACAAGAAGAATCAAAATATATTTCTCTCATTTGGTTCGCATTAAAGAACACACGGCGAAGAAACTATTTCTGTACATCAGTTGCATTGCAAAATAATAATTAAATGCTGACAAGAGCGTCAATACAGGAAAAATCAAAATATATTTCTCTCATTCGGTTCGCACAAAGGAACGCATGGCAAAGAAACTATGTCTCAATGAAACGAACATTAATTCACATGGACTTAATCACTAAATTTCTTCTTGTTACGAGTGTACCCTCCATTTTACAATGAACTGTATCTCTGTTCACAAACATTGTACCTGGTTTTAAGTGTAAACACAGCTAGTCAAGACATGGGAAAACCGAACGGAAAGTCAGCTTGAAAGAAAATCGTACGACAGGAGTGCGCCTAAAGCTAACGGAGGAATTCGATGAACTGAACGCGCCCGCCATCGACGCCACTTTGCTCTTTTTCACTTTTTCCCTTTTTCC